GATATAGCCGGAATCGTAACGCCTGACGCGAACATCTGTTGTCGCTTCGTTCCGCACGATTTACATCAATCAAGAATCGACTGAGGGCAAGCTTAGCTTTCGTCAAATTTGTATTCGCGATGTTAACATTTAAACGTACTTAAAATAGAAATGCTTTGGTAACTTAAAAAATAGTGACGCATATAAAAATATGCATATTTTATGTTTTTAAGAAGAAGAAGAATATCTATTTTTTTTCTTTTTCTTAACAAAGACGTGAGATTAATACAAATCAATTAATTCTGAATTAAAGACAGCAGATCAATCTGTACTTTTAAAATTTCATACATTGAATGTGATTGTAAATTGTGCTGCTAAAAGAATTTAAAGCGACGTTATAATAAGTTCTCGATCTGATTTAAATCGCGAGAACGTGACATCTCTCGCAGGCTGCAAAGCGCATTTCGTCGCGCGGCAAGCGAGCGTAGTACCGAATTTCTTGCGGCGTCTCGAGATTATGGTCCTTTAAGACGCGCGGTGCGCTCTTTCTCGCGCAAAGTGATCTATTGGCGAAACATCTGGCCGCGCGTCGTCATAGGGGACGATGCATTTACGGGCAGCTAAGTGGCCTTTACCCGGACTTTGGTTCCCGAAAGCGCGACAATAAATTTTCGTTCGCCGCTCGTGCCGCGCCATCCGCCTTTAATTTGACGAGCCGGAACCTCGTTACACTCGTTAGGGGCAAACGGAGAGGGAGGAACATGATGGAGAAAAGCGCCGATCTGCGAGCGACGGTTCTTTTTTTGGTATACCGAGAAAAGATCCTTAAGATAAAATGATCGATCTCAGTCGTGCGTTACGAGAGAATCAATATTTTTTTATAAGCTTATTCGTAAGCTTCATTATTGCTGTTGTATAAGCGTGCGTATATTGAAAGTGAATTGTATTTAAACATAATCAATAATGTATTGTATAATAACAATTTTATGGGTAAACTTTTTTCTTGGATTATACAAAGTTTATAAAATTTTATTTCCAATTTTATTCTTCAAATTTTGCCTAGCTTGTATTAAATACATGTCGCATTGAGTTATCTTTAGTCATTCAAGTAGACCTACTACCTATAGAAAATTTTAATCACGCGATTATTTATAACATTAATTTAACTCTAATAAATGAATAAACGTGTACATTAATGTTTCATAAAATATCAGCACTCGGGTTGAATTAAGCTTCACTGTAGGCTCAACACGTCGTAAGACGTATATGTCTGAGCATGTAATTAACGACGGACGTTTTCGGCCAAAAATTGGATGGTCGCATAACGCGAAATTCGACCCTGCCGCAGCCGTTGCTGATATTGTAATAAACGTTGCGCGCGAGGCACCGCAGCCATTAATTCACGTGGATCGCGCAAGGCGGTGGTGGTTCGCGGGGGCATAAGAAGGCGAAATTTAGTGAGCCACTGGTGGGAACATACAGACCTCTAATGGCCATTCCGATGACTATGGTCTCGACCACAGTGGCAACCCCCTTTCGGCCCCGTTCCCCAAGTTCTCTCTCTCTCTCTC